GAGGGGGGGAGAGAGAGGGAGAAAGTATGCTAGAATATAATTGACATTCCCTTACGCTATAAAAGGTCTGGACCTCATTCATTATGTCACAAAACTTGACGAGAGCATCCTGAAAACACAACGATGACAACAATGACATGACACACATTACATCTTGTATCACTACAATAAGTACATATTTAACTACAGGAGGCCAACAAAACACGACACACACAGTCACAGTCACACACTAATGAATACTACACTGGTGTATGTATACATAATTGGATAGTAGTAACGACTCGTTAATAGTACAAAGTAGATGAATGGGAATTAGTTATAAGCTACTGTAGTACAATGTAACAAGAGCTGAGTGAAGTGAACTAATAACTGTAAATGTACATGCATCATTGCATGAAACATAATTTACAATATACATACATGTACATGCATAATTAAGTCTAATACATGTACATTACTAATACAGTACTGTACATGCACATATTCAGTGAATGTACTATACTACATGTACTGTATGAGTATTAACTTACAGATACTACTGGTTGCTGGTCTGTGAAGTGACATGAAAGCTCCTTGAGGCTCATACCAAAAAGTCTAAAATAAGATAACAACATGATAACATCTTAGCTACCATAATTATATTTCCCTTCTCTTTCCTCTCTCTCTCCCTCCCTCTTTCTCTCTCTCTCTCTCTCTCTCTCTCTCTCTCTCTCTCTCTCTCTCTCTCTGTAGTTGAAATTATCAGGGGACAGTTATGAAAAGATACTTGACACTAGTCACAGTCACACTCATCATCATCATTAGCATTGTGTTGGAATACAAACCTCAAATTACTCATGTAGATTTGACCGGTTTCAACCATCTTTGAACAACACTGCACAACCTATGATACAAGAAATAAAAATACATGTACAGAAGTGGTAAATGTGATAACAAGTGTCAATTAATGTATAAATTATGTGCAGTAATAACAGGTTAAATGATATCTCCTTTTATTGTAAAGTCCCACCTTTCTTAGCTTCATTTCCAAGTCATTCATCTCCTTCTCTTTTGCTTGTAGTAATCTCCTGTGTGGAGAGAGAGAGAGAGAGAGAGAGAGAGAGAGAGGGAGGGAGGGAGAGAGGGAGAGAGAGAGAGAGAGAGAGAGAGAGAGAGAGAGAGAGAGAGAGAGAGAGAGAGAGAGAGAGAGGGAGGGAGGGAGGGAGAGAGAGAGAGGAAGAAAGATAGTGAGAGAGAGGAAGAGAGAAAGAGTGAGACAGAAGAACAAATTAAATAAGAAGACCAAAAACAGAAAGCGAGACAACAACATATGGAACACAAATCACATTAGTTATGGAATTATAATGAGATTCAGTAATAGGATATATCCATTTCGTTTTCTCAGTAGCACAACTTATCTCATCAATTAGTTTAGCATGTTATCTCATCCCCTACTACATGCAAACATACAATAAATTCCCATATGATGTACATGTACACATGTACATGTACATGTACATGTACATGTACAATATACCATGTGTACGTAGATGCATATTTACCTACAAGCGAGTTTATAGCCTACGCAAAAGATTATAATAACAACTAATAATAATAATAATTTGTACATGTACATATTCACGCGAGTAATTTTGTGTAGATTTGTTTTGTAGCAGGGAAATTTTTCAAAATAAACACAGCACCCATGCAGGCTGCCAAATTTAAAGAGTTTGCAATTATAATTGGGTGCCATTTACAGCAAACAGTATACCTAACATTTGAATGTACAGTACATGTATAAGTACACATAGTGTAGTTCATATCCATTATGATCCAATGAGAAGCTGTACTGTATGCATGTACATGTGTAAACTTGATTTATTTCTATTGTGAAATTAATAGATTATCACCGATCTTTTGAAATGGTAACTAGTTAGTGTTAATGGATGTATACATATAAATAAAATGGTACAGTTAGTTTTCTAAGTGTAGGTACTACTGACCTGAATTGTGGTGAATCATGTAGACAGTCTTGTAGATCGATGAGTTCCCATTGAAACTGTGACTGATCCTGAGGGAGAGGGAAAGGAGAAGGGCTCCCCGAGTCTCCTCTGGGGCTGCTTTGAGAAGACATTGAGGAAGACATGTCCTTAAGCAATAGTTAGATCTATTACCTAATATAATAATCCTGAGGGAAATGAAATTTTATAGGATTTAAATAATTCTAAAGTAATGTGGTTTTGGGTGAATGGATATCAAGTTTCAATATTGATCTACATTAGTTATTCCATGCTGTTAGGAGCCAGCATGGAATGTTGGCTGAAACACAGAGTTCAGTCAGGAAAGAAAACGAGTCACTTTTCGGAATGGGATGGAATTCTACAGTTGATGTAGCAGAAACAAACATACCTTAGAGTCCGTTGTAGACTGAGAGGCTCAGAACATGTGAAAAAGAAGGAGAGGGGGAGAGAGATGAAGAGAGAATGGACGCTCTAGCTCCAGCAAGTACTTACGGTCCCTGTGGAATTGCCCGTATACTATAGTGCACGGAAACATACGGGATTCACACGGAAATATTTACGTCGCGGGCATTTTGGCTTACAAAAAGCAATGAATTAGCAGTAATTTTATCAAAGTGAAAAAGAGACGATTTATTGTTACAATCCCAGTTTAATAACAATTAATTAATTAGAGTGTTTTTTACGGGACATTGATGATGCATTATTGCGTGAATTTTCGTTGGTTGCTTCTCCAGTCTGATCCCTCTTCGGCTTTTTCATAAGCGGATCCTTCTCATTTACAGGACCCCGCCCGTGTTTACGGGGATCATCTCTGTTCTTAATGCCACGCCCACCCACAGGAGGATCTCTGCGTCTATCATCATGATCCCGATAATTAGATCCGCCTCTATCGAAACGAGGGTCACGCCCATCAAACTGACGATCTTGTCCCGGAGGCTTATACTGATCACGCCCGCTGTGATAATTAGAAGGGGCATGGCCAAATGATGGGTGTGGCTCTTGAGGTCCTCCACGCTGCCGAGGATCTGCTGGATGTGGCTTATGAGAAGGGAAGTTCCCAGGGGGAGGAGGCTGACGAGGGTCTTGAACGAAATTAGAGTCCCTATTACTACCAGGGCCATTAAATTGAGGACCATCTTGCTGGTATTCTCTCCGCCCACTTCCACTGTCAAATTGTGGGTGTGGCCTATCATCCTGAAACAAATCCGGAGGTTTGTAATTAAGAGGGGCATGGCCATAACCGAAACGGTCATCACGGGAAGTGCTGCCTCTTTGTCTTGGATCGGACGGCTGGAACGGCTTCCGTTCATCTTGTATGGAAGAGGGTGGAGCTTGACGTGGGTCTTGAGGAGGGGGAAAAGGATGTTCCCTTTCCTGATGAGGGAATCTGTTCTCTGGTCCACCCCCGCTTATCTCAGTTGGTGGAATGAGAGGTGTTGGTGCATTACCATGTGGCGGACCCCTAGGGTAATTCTCCGGTGGAAATTGCCCCCTGTCCCCTTGCTGGGGAGGCGGTGGTCGCTCAAACTGCCTGTCAAAATTTCTATCCCCCTGGGAACGCTCAAAACGTCTTTCTCCCCCAGGGGGTCTATCAAATTGCCTGTCATCAGGAGGGGGGTGATCAAACGGAGGTCGCTCAAACTGCTGAGATTGTCTATCAAATTGTCTTTCCCCTGACGGAGGGGGCCGCTCAAACTGACGCTCAAATTTTCTGTTGTCCTCAGGGGGACGCTCAAATTGTCTGTCTCCAGGGGGCCGGTCAAACTGTGGTTGTCTATCGTAAGATCTGTCATTAGAAGGCGGGAGGTCATACCTATCCCCGGGGGGAGGGTGCCTCTCATATCTATCATCAATGGGGCTGGGCCGCTCAAATTTTCTATCGTTATGATGAGGGGGCATCCTGTCAAACTGTCTGTCAGATTGAGCTGATGGTGGAGGAGGAATGTAATCCCTTGGTCTGTTATTGAATTCATCAGGGGGAGGGGGACGATAACCAGGGAAATCTTGACTATCCCTTCTCTAAAAAATAAAACAAAATTAATAATACATGTACATGTACATTACAATTATACATGTACATGTACATGTACATGTACACACCGTACCTGTCCAGGTTGCCCAGGAGGAGGTCCCCTTGGTGGACCATTAGGCTCACGTCTGTATACAAACGGGTTTGGATTCCACCTGGAAAAACAAGCAATAGTAAGATACGATAATAATTATACTATCGTATAGCTGGTGATCTAAAGGGGGAATTTTGGCAAACTGCTAATAGTGCTAAACTTCTGGTGACTGGCAAGTTTTAATTCTGGCAAAATGGTAATTTCGCCAAAATTCCCCCTACCCCTCCAAAATAGTGAAAATACCCTGCTACATTATAAGATACAAAAGTGATGACAATACTAGACTGACCGATCCTCATCAAATGAAGGTCTTCTCGGGTGATAATCAAACCGATGCCAATTATAGCGACCGCCTCCCATTTCTTCCGGAGGATGGGGTGGGTGTGGCCCACCAAAAGGACCTGGTCTCTCCCAAGATTCATTCTGATCATCATGGAAACCCCTTGGGGGGCCCAAAAGTGGTCTCGGGCCACCGGGAGGAACAGGTGAGGGTAACTCTTGATTTTCTAATTAAAAATTAAAAATATTATAATATTATTACCATTTTATATTACCGAAAGTCTTATTTCCATCCAAAACGTCTTCTTTATTTTTTTCTGTACAACAAAAAACAAGAAAGATTTGAATACATGTTACATGTACATGCAACCATTCATAATTGCAAAAAGTTAGAGTACATGTACATGCACATGTATTGTTATGCACTAAAGCAATCTACAATGTACACATGTAGAATCTGAAACTGCTACAATTCAAACAGTACACATGAAAAATATACACACATAACTCTGCATGTAACTGTACACCATTCTGCTGGTAGCTGTCACAGAACAATATACAGTCTAGGACGTATAGTGATTAAACACAAATGGTTAGTCTATAATTAGTGCAAACAATTGCCAAAATAACTTTACAAAATAAGCCAGATTGTCATCACAGAAAACAATAAATAAATAAACAAACCTACATACATATACATATATGCAATGACAGTCCAGTAGACACACCAAACAGTCACAAAATTAAATCAGAGACTACAACACTTAGAGAAGAGGGCAACGTGCATGTACATAGTACATACATGGATGTGTATGGGTATACATAAGTGTCATCATTATTGTGAATCAAGCAATGGATCAAAAGTAAACGAAAGGGATTATCAAAACTTGTCATGCTTAGGATGTAACCTTCAATTTCAATAAAAAGATTATAACAGTAAACACCTCTCTCTCTCCTCCCTCCCTCCCTCCCTCTCTCTCTCTCTCTCTCTCTCTCTCTCTCTCTCCTCCCCCCTCTCTTTCTCACTCTCTCTCTCCCTCTCCTTTTCACTCTCTCTCTTTCTCACCATCAAAGGTTTGTGCTATTATATCAGCTCCAAGTACAGGTATATCCACTCTAGGTCCAGGCAGAGCATGTAAACCACTGAATCATAAAATAGAGAAAAACATGGCAGCTTTGACACGACTTAGTTGTCATGGTTACCTTTCCCCACCCCCTTGTCTCCATGGTGACATGGCAGAGGGAGGCGGAAGAGTTACAGCATCCCTGGAAGGTGGAGGGGGCATTAAATGGAGTGGTGCTCCGATCCCTCCTCTCTGAGGCTCCATGATATTCATGCCAGGGAGACCGCCGGATATTTCTAAAGAGAAACAATAATTTTTGATAATAAAAATGTGTGCGTGTCCAACCTATGTCGTCTCCCATGTAAAACGGATTGTGATATGAATTATATTTATCTTTGAGCTCTTCCCCAGGTCTGTTCCGACACCAAAACTTGCTAGAAGAGAGAGAGAGAAAAGTAAAGAAAGAAAAAGAACACAGGTGCATAATGTATAGATACATGTACTATACATGTACATATACATGTACATGTGAATGCATACCATGTATGGTCGTTAGCTCCGGAACACAAAAGGTGTCCTAATGGGTGCCAGGCCAGACTCCACACGAAACCTTCATGAGCTGATTCCATTCCGCCAATCTCACGTTCGTTACTATGACAACGAATAGGATAAAAGGAGAGTTATAAGTGATGATAGACCTACCCAACCAGCCAGAATAGGATTGCCCCATCCGAGCCTCCGCTAGCAAAAACCTTCTCGTGTACCGGATGCCAAGAAATAGCTATAATGTATTTTTAAATAATAATAAAATAACTTTAGTTTTTGGAGCTGATTTTAGTAAAGTACAGTTAAGTACATGTACATCTTACATTTGTATTATTTTCTTTAAATTACAATAAACATTATTTGTACTATTTTTAATTTCATTGACTAACTGTTGACATCTTTCTTGTGTCCCTTGAGTACATAAAGCTCCTTCATCATTCTCACATCATACAGCTTGATCAGATAATCCCTAGAGGCAGTGGCTAACCAGTTACCATTCCTATTCCATTTGATGTCCATCACTGTCGCTTTGTGAGCATGTCTGGATATAAAATACAGTAACAGTAAGTGTAATATAAACTATAAGAGCATGTACATGCATCAGAATAAATACTTTTAGCAAAATACTCTGTACTAGTACAGCAAGTGTCTTTGGCCAAATTTTTAGTAATTTTAAAAATTTGTAAAAAATCAAATTTTGATTGGAATCAGCTCAAACTTGCTACACAACATAAGAACATGTATATGCATCAGAAAAAATTATAAAAATGGACATTTCTCTCCTTGAAATTTTTGACAAAATTTGGCCAAAGTCCCTGTACTATAGTACAGGGACTTTAGCCCGATTTTTGAGTAACTTTAAAAATTCGTAACAAATCCAATTTTGATCAGAATAAGCTCAAACTTTCTATACAACATAAGAACAAGTATATGCATCAGAAAAAATTATAAAAATTAATAATTCTTTCCTTGACATTTTTGACAAAATTTGGCCAAGTCCCTGTACTATAGTACAGGGACTTTAGCCCAATTTTTGAGTAACTTTAAAAATTCGTAACAAATCCAATTTTGATCAGAATAAGCTCAAACTTTCTACACAACATAAGAACATGTATATGCATCAGAAAAAATTATAAAAATTAATAATTCTCTCCTTGACATTTTTGACAAAATTTGGCCAAAGTCCCAAATGACTGTAGGCTGGGTAATGGCCTGGCTGCACAAAGCTGCTATAGTACAGAGACTTTGGCCTAATTTTTGAGCAATGGTGGCACCCCTTTGAACTCGATTTAAATAAAATAAATAGACGATTATGACTAACATTGTACAAACACTCTGTCCTGTTCTTGCATCCCATAGTTTGACCGGCTGTTGGTTGTCCTTACTCCCTGAGGCTAACAAACTCTTCCTGGGATGCCAATCAAGACACTTGACATCAGCACCATGACCTAGAGGAACACAGAGGGCAATAAGGGAAAGAAAAGAGCTACACGTATATGTACATATACATGTACATGTACAACAATGTACCATATACAGTATATCATGACATTTATGCAACAAAAAATTTTCGCTAATCCTGCTGCTGCATTTCTAAGATTTCACGAAATAAATTTTTGCGAATACTAGCTTGCAAGCTGCACCGTGTGGCAATGGAGCTGTAGGATTTTGCAATTCTAATTTTGGTAATGGAGCAAAAATCACGAAATCCACAAAAAAAATTGTCACATAAATATCATGGTATACAGTAGATGTATGTGGACATAAATGTACTACACTGCATGTAGCATGTGGTGAGAAATTTCGGTGCCTAAGGCTTTCTGAATCTGCAATTTTGCAGATTTTAATTATGATAATTTTCTACTTTTCTATTTTTTTGAATGCATATAATCACATGAAACTTGGGCCACAAAAGTTTTTCGCTATACAATACTACACGTACACGTATGATCACAAATCACAATGATGCTAAGAGCATATATTAACAAGTGAAGGAAGAAGAGAATTATTCTGTGGTTTGTTTCTTTCAAAACAAGCCGGACTGTATACCTCTTAGAATATGCTCCTCTGTACAGGACAAGAAATCAAAGACCCTTATAGTGCCGTCATCCGAACAGGTAGCAAGCTTAGCATCAGTTGGAGAGAAACTACATATAATATTAATAAAAGAGTTCCACATTAATAAAGTGATGTGGCCCGGAGTAACCTCAACAATAAAGTGGGTTTGGTTTGCGAGTGAAATTAATGTGTAAATTCATAATTATACTGATCAATGACAAATAATTTATTAAGTGATTGTACGTAAAATTATCATTATATTGATCAGTGATGAATATTTTAATGAGAGGGGGTGTTCGTGATAAAAATGGACATCACATGCAAAATGACAAGAGTTTCCATCCATATTAATCACACTGATGTGTTGGACGGCTAAAATAATGTAACGTAATTATAAAGTCGAGTGATATTGTAAATAAGACAATTTTACTTACAATACGAAAATAACAATAATCACCAACAAAATGAGAGTCAAAATCCTCGTCTAAAACTACATGTACATGTAACGGCAGTAGTACCACTTCAATAAAAAGACCGTCGTTGCGGCTAAAACCCCACCTGGTGCTACGTATCGGTTCACTATGTGCTTGATAAGTATGGACATTGTTAAAGTTTATCTGCCAGTACTTGATGAACCCTCTGTCATCAGCTGTCACCATCCACTTACCATCATGACTCCAGTCGATAGTCCTCACTGAACAGTCGTGAGCCTAGAAAAGGAAAATAAATTAAAGACAATGTACATGTACATGTGCATGTAGAGCAAGTTTAATAGAAGTACATGTACCTACATGTACATGTATGAATAAATGTAAATACGTACAATACATGTAATGTGTAGGTTTTAATAGAAAAGTACCTCAACAATGCTAAGTAAATAATAAACATGCATACAATGCTTATACAAGTACATATAATTACCGAAAATAAACTAGTGAAAATCCCTGTCGCATCAATTACCTGAATAATAGACTCAAAATTGAAATTAATTCCGTTCCAAAGAGTGAATTCTCCACTAGCTGCCCCAGTAACGAGTCTCCGCCCGTCTGGAACCCACTAAGGTACAAAAACAATTCCATAGCAACAAGCCACACCCACAACTCACGGAAGTGCTGAATATCGGTGAGCGAGTCTTGTTAGTACAAGCTTTGACAAACTTTGTGGTAACTACATTGACCGGGCAATCCTCCAAACCTGCTGGAATGGAAACGTCATTGTAATACGTCAAATCCGGTTGAATTAGAGGCTTGTCCCTCCGATCCCTCTGCCATAATCGGTTCTAGGTTTTAAAAAGGTGGAGTTACGTGATAGTCATGTGATCAACTCACTTTTAAGTAATGTAGTGCAGTAGCATGGTACTCTACTGTTTTCCTAATTACTGGCCTGCTGCCCTTATTGGGCCCTGATTGAGGACCACCTGGAGGGAGTTGGTTAGGGAATGTGGGAGAGAGCATGGGAGGCCCCTCATTCATCATCATCATCATTGACATTATGATTTAGAGCAAATTCAATCCTTCTCTAGTGGACGCCATTTTGAAGCCTCGATGTTGTGGGCGTGGTTGCGCATGCGCAGTACAGTACTATCTCTGGGCGTGGCAAATAGATCTAGGCGTGGCTAATAATAATCTGATTCAAAATGGAGTCTCTCAGGTTTGCTGTTGTTTGCTCAAGCAATCAGAATAGGAGCATGGAGGCTCACCATCTACTTAAGTAAGGGCTTGGAAATTATTTATACTTCAGTACTGCAGTACTGTAAACATTAAAAGTACTCGTTAATGTTTTAAAATTAAAATTATTTCACATCTCTTTCTTTCTGTATTGATAGCAAAAGAGGTTACAATGTCAAATCCTATGGGATAGGGTCTGTGGTGAAGCTACCAGGTGCATCGGCCAATGAACCAATAATCTACCCGTTTGGAACCACATACGAGGACATGTACCAAGACCTGTACCAGAGGGACCCTCACCTGTATCCGTGGCAGTGATAGGAGAGGAAATTGAGTCCGGAATTTTATTTGCTTTTTTGAAATTAATTCCTCGTGTATGTGCATGTGTCATTAATGTTTGTGCATGCTTGATGACATTCCAAAGAGAGAAGGAGGACTTTCATAGTAGAATTAAGAAAGGGATTTCAGTATGGACATTCTATCTGTTTTATAACAATTAAAATTCACAAAGTTGATCCTTAACCAGTTGTATCTGCACATTATACATACATACACAGGTACACACAAAATGGCATATTACAAATGTTAGATAGGAACAGGAGAATCAAGCCATCGCCGGAGAGATTCCAAGAAGCAACTGAAGACAAATTTAATATCATTTTTACCGTCGGAGAAAAGATTTTTGATACAGTCATAGATGGTAGGGAGTGCATGCATGAAATATTTAGCTTCAACTTTGAGCTACAGAACTTGTATACCGTATAGCTCCAAATTTTTGTTGGTCAAAAATTTTGTCAAATTTGTCAGGTACTTTTGCTTGACGAATTTTTAGCTGATGAAATTTTTGTTCCACATGGGTGGTATGCGGATTAATAACAAAAATGTTTTATTAACAAAAATTAATTTTAACAAAAAGTTAAGATTTTGCCGAAATTTTTGACCGACGAAAATTTGTAGCTATATGGTATTCTCTCTCTCTCTCTCTCTTGTTTAGACATAGAATCAAGAGGACCACAGATATACTCACCCGTCCATGTGATCAATATTAATATACAAGACAATCTTGATGAGGCTACATTTGGATCCTTCCTGTTCTGTGAAATGTGTGAAATGGTGAGAGAGAGAGGGAGAAGTGTATTATGTAATCCTGTGAAAAAATGGAATGAGAATTTTAAACTTTAATTTTAAAATTTTAGAAAGGGCGAGATTTATAACGTAATTCTTTTAAAAGAGGAATCACGATATGAGAGATAGAGCAAGAATTAAAGATTTGATTTTTATGTTTTTTTTATTGTATAATGCAAGGCTTTTAAAAATAGAGTGAGAATTTTAGATGTCATTTTTATGTTGTTTTTTTAAATTTCCATAGATGTCCGATTCTGAAGACCTTGATAACGAAATTGAATTAATTTTATTAGAATTTGAAGCAAAACATACAACAAGGACAGTATTACACTCGATCACATTTTATTAATAATTTTGAATTATTTTTTGTGTTTTTTTCCGTCCGGCTTTTTCTCTCTAACTTGCATTCCTCTCATTATTGTTTATATTATGTATGATAATAATAATATTATTGTATGTTACTATCTCTGTTATGTATCTGATAATCAATCAATCATTGTTATTGTTATAATGAAGAGAAAATTGTAAAAAATCAAGAGTCGTGTCCTTAACAATCATGAATAATTATTATAATTTACAATAAATATTATTATTCTCATTATTTGGAACGTCTATTGTTCTCCACCAGGCCAATCATCAAGCCCCATTGCCCTTCTCCATAATATGTAGTATCCTTTCATTCCATTGAATTTATAAGTTAGCCGGACTTTCTGAGGGAATTAAAAAAAGCATGCATGTAACATGATGCTGTTACTAAGCATTCAAATACATGTACATGTTCATACTTCTCTTGGCGGAGGGTTTTCCATTAATGAGTCCAGCTGCATCACAATATCATCAGATGGCAATATTTCAGCATACTTGATTTTCTATATTATTATTGTATAGTATTATAGTACATGACCAAATTTTACCAAAATTGAAAAGGAGAGAATTCTTCATTTTTATAATTTTTCCTGATACATATACATGTACTTATGCTGTATAGAAAGCTTGAGCTGATTCTGATCAAATTTGGATTTTTTTACAAATTTTAGAAGTTACCAAAATAGGGCCAAAGTCCCTGTACTACATGTATATATATAGTACATATCTTCCACCATTCATCCTCTCTCTCTCTCTCTCTCTCTCTCTCTCTCTCTCTCATTACCTTTAATATTTTATGGACAGTATCATAGTCTTTGTATCTTATTGATTTCTGAATCAAGACCTCGTGAACTTCCTCCAATCTCTTCCTAATAATCTCATCTTTCTATTATATATAGAAAAAAATAGTGTACAGTCTAAATTTGTTTTTTTATTCTCAGTTTATACAGGTACATAAGTGTTAACCACAATCATGCAACCCATGATAGATTTTACAAAAATCCTTGTATATAAAGCTACTACTTACTACAACGTGTCATAATTTCTAGATCCGATAAAATTTTTGAATGGGTTAATATAACCCTGTGGTAAGTTATTTTAACAAAGCATTTAGCCAAAAATTTTCACTATAAAGGAACACATTCACGCGTTATCTTGAAAAAATGCCAGTGGCTTAAGATGACATCATTAATGATGACATGTAGTATAACTATTCATAACGTGGGGCTGTGCCCTTAAAAATGAAGGCAAAATGGATACTCAAGTGGTTACTTGTGAATCTTCCTGGTGTTTTTAAAAACAGTAAAAAGGGTGTCATGGGTGGTAAAAGTTCTAATGCTGGTCAAAGAAGTGTTCTACAGTAGTGATGGGCGATATGGCCAATTTTCTTAATTTTCGATAACGATCGATAATGGACTTTTAAAGGAAATATCGATTATTAACGATACGATAACCACACCTTCATTTAGGGGTGTGTCAAGGGTGTGGCTAATGATTTTGGCACTGTACTGGACATGAGAGAAGATCATTTCCATCCTATTGAGCCTTGTTTCTCTTCTTATTGGAGTAGGCTGAACTAACAACTGGTCAGTTGCCTCTTTCTTGCAGTTCAACAGTGCAATTACTTATTAAAATTAGTTATTTAACCTTAATAAATGGGCGTGGTCAATAGATCGATGAAAATTGCATAAAATTTTTGATAATGATTCAAATCGATTCCGTAAAATATCGTTTATATCGATAAAGAATCGATATATCGCCCATCACTATTCTACAGATGCCTACTCCTAGTTCTACACCTGATTACTCTGTCTCTACTCTCTACGCGTGTCTAAACATATGTTATAACTATTAATTAATAATCTGTTGCACGCCCAATTTAATGTTTACTTCCTCTACAGTGACGTATGCATTTATTTCCGTGAATATGTCCCTTTAATATCATGCCCCATATATATGTATATGCAGTGGTGGGTGATACTGCCATGGCCAAAATGGATTTGATAAGATACCGATTGATATCAGCTAGCCCATATCAGGAGTATCAATCCAGTTTTCAATACAATATTTAGACCACACCCATGGAGTCACACCTCTTATTGTTGACTGTTTTCATGCATGTGTATCCACGTGTGTGTATTATACGTCATTAACTTCTTTAAATTTTCGTTATTAATATTATTTAACCGTAATAAATGGGTGTGGTGAACGTATCGATCTAGATTGCTTTAAAATTTCAATACCAATACAAATTGATAATGTAAAATATCGTTTGTATTGATAAAATATCAATATATCGCCCACCACTACCTTATGCTTTAATAAAGTTTTAATTTAAAGCAACTATCACATATGACATTTTTGAGCTCAAATTTTGGCCAGAAATAAATATTACCATTTCTTCATGTTGAGCCTCTTCCTCAATGCTTGTTAAAAAGTCTCCAACTTCCTTTGATGTGAGACACGCCTTTGCTTTTCCTAAGTCTGAGAGGACTCCATGCTTGTGAGCAATACTGATCAAAGCCTGAAAAGAAAATATATAAAATAGCATTATTATAAATATAATTATGATTACATTATTATAAATATTATATAATTATTATTGGCAATATTTGTCCTTATTTCTCTCTCTCTCTCTCTCTCCTTCTCTCTTCTCTCTCTTCTCCTTTATTAATTAATTTATTTTATTATTGTTGTTTTTGTTGTTGTTTGTTGTTATTATTATTATTATTATTAGTATTATTATTATTATTATTATTATTGTCATTGTTATTATAATTAATATAATATAATATACAATAATGCTCAAAGAAGAAGAGCTACATAAGTTACAATAAGTCTTACCTCTACTCCCTCTATGTCTCCAAGAGCTCTTAGTCTATCAATGGCGGTCTTCATAAAAGGTTTATCCAGTGCCACTTTACAATCCTCAAGTATCGAGAAGACGTTTGGCGACAAGCAGACCAGGAGAGAGAGCATCCGAACATCTGGATGTATCCTGGACCTCTTCATGGAAGTTAGAAATTTTTTGATATCTTCAGTTTCCAGCCATCTTAGTTTATCCGAAACATATAGAGTTAATGTCATACTCCCAAGATCAAGTTTGAATTCTCTCCTGGCTCGTAAGGTTTTCGTGGAGTTTGGTACAGATGTGGTATGCCTTGAAGCAGCTGACAAGTGATGGGGTAAGGAGCTATCTCTAAGAGAGAGGAGGAGTACATTGTAGGATTGACGGTTTGGCTTGATACCACTCTCTTTCATGCTCTTCCATACTGCCTCTAATTTTTCCTACACACAATAATAAAAATTATTAATAAATCAAAAATGGCTATGTGTAAGTTAAAGTCATCATACTTCTTGGTCTGTGTTTTAATAAAGGGAAATAAATAATGTAAGCTATAAAATACTTTTAATGTCGCATCTGACACACTAAATCCCCCTCAAACCCATATTACCAATTCCTCCTCCCCTATATACACCACAGCCGACAAACAAACTAGTTATCACCGTTGCCCCCCAAAACGACATTTGCCCCCAGGGTAACACATACCCCATAAAGGCCGTTCCCATCATTAGTATATATATCACCACCCCCCACATTCCATACCATTCCTTTCACGTAACTCCCATAGTAAATCCCCCTCCCTATGTGCATATACACACATACAAAGAAGAATGAAGCCCCATTTAAATGCAAAGATCTTAAAAAGAATCCATACTCCACATCCCAGGTTATATGCATTATAGACGAAAAGGCTAAGTTCACATCTGCACAATAGTGCATTGCTAAAAAAATACCCGTCACCATTTGTATTACCAAACACCCCCCCCAGCAATGACCCAAAATTTCACAAGTAGCTTATATTAGATGGAGATGGCAAATCTATGAACATGTTATTCATAAAAGATATTAGCGGATTCGTTTTTTGAATAGATCTGGGCTCTACCATTCCAACTCTCATTGACTCTCCCCTTCGTTTTTATACTAAAACATAGACAAACATAATAAAATACAGACCAAAAAATAAATGTATACTAAAACACAAAATTAATAACAAATAAATAAATTAATAATAATAAATAAATAAAGTAATAAATTAATGAACTCACCATACTACTCCTAGCACAGGCAAGAAGGAGTGACCTGTATGTGTCTATATCAGGTTTGTCTAGTTTAGTAACTTCATCAAAAACCTCATCAACCATCCCACAGTTAGCCATTGCTGTCAGCATTGCATTGAATGACAATGTATTCAGTGACATTCCACGTCTTTCTATTTCTTTCATCACTTTATCGAGTATTTCCGCTGATTTCGTTCGACCGCATACGGCAAACATGCTTGTATAGGTAATATCTGATGGCATTAGACCTCTCTTCTTTAACTAGGGGGAGAGGGAGAGGGAGAAAGAGGAAGAATAAGAGGTGTATGTAATCATGGAGGACATAAATTATACCGTAGGGTGCTTTTTTTAAGGGCCATAAGCTTTGTGGATTTTGTAATTTTTTGAAGATTTGCAAAAATTACTTCCGCGTAAATTAAATTATTACAGTACAAGAGGGCAGACAGTATAAATTTACTGAAATTAAATCCACAAAATATAAATTTTTAGGCAAAATCGAGAAATTCACAGCCCTCAAAAAAAGGCAACTTATGGTACCGTAAAAGTAAAAATTTTCGACGTATCAAAATTTTGTCTTTTGTTCAAGTTGTTAAAAAATTAATTTTGTCTGTAATACTCTTCAATTACCACGAGTCAAATACAAATGAGTTAAAAATTAAATTTTCATCCTTTCATGAACTGGTAGAAAAAAAAATTCTACGGGTCAAAATTTTTGTGTCTATGGCAAACATAAAATATTTTATTGCCCCCAACCTATACATAAAGTACATGTACATGTGTTTTTACTTACATTATTAAATGTTTTAAAAGCTTTTCTAGCATCACTGGTCAGTACATATCCTTTAATGAGTGCGTTATATGCAAAGATATCAGGATACACACGACGGTCTATCATACTCTGAAGGACTTCTTCAGCTTTCTCAATCTTTAAGAGAACAAAAAATAACTCAAAAATAACCAATATTTTTTAACACATAAATTAATTTTGATTGCTTGTGTATATAATCTAAAATTCTATTGAAATTAAGGGCATTAGTATGTTCAGGCAATAAATGCAATATATATATATATATATATATATATATATATATAAGAATTGGGAGTGAGCATGATCATGTGTATTTTACAAGAACATCGGCCAAGAATTATCATCTCTGATACAGGCTACTACCCAAAATCAATGATTCAAGCCTGATGTCTATTTTGATACAGCCCTGACTGGCATCAATGTTGAATCATGTCTGATGCTCTGGCTGAACTCCAGCATGGTTGTATCATGGATGGTTATCATTTATAATGATTGTATCATACTAGACTCATTGCTTTGTAGGCTGCCCAAAATCCATGATACAGGGATGTATCAAGGCTGATCCTGATTGATATCAGTCATGATTCAAAGTAAAATTCTTGGCTGTGTATAATGAATTGATGATGTATGCCTATAGCTAAAAAATTGTTGATATCATGCTTTACCTCTCCTTTTTTGACGAGTCCCAGTATGTTATAACTGTAACGAGTTCTTCTAACTTGCCATAATCTCTTCCCAGAAAGCATGATTAAAAGATGAATTGAATTGAATAATGATCAATTTTTAACCCTCCCTTCTCTCAAGATCAAGATTCCACTCCACACCCCATTTTGCATTATTTTAAATAACAAAAACAGCAAAAACCTAAAAGTAAAATATTAAGAAAAAAGCTGGACAATAATATCTAACAGTTCGCAGCAGTTTGGTGTATAATATCTATGCATACACAACACACCTGACAAAACAAACTCGTTTGAAATTACAAAATTAAAAATTATTAATCATTCATGATGATTGGATCATGGTGATCCTCGTCAGCTAGATCATGGTGATCCTCGTCAGCTAGATCATGGTGATCCTCGTCATCTAGATCATGCGGTTCAAGAGACTGAGCTCTTCCTTCACCTCCTTCAAGAATTGAGACACGGGTGTCTAGGTCCTCTACTTTTTCAGATAACACAGTGATGGGGTAACGATATGCATGTGATGTAGCGTGAAACATTTGAAATTGATCACTAATTTCGTCCATCTTCTTATATGCATTATCCAAGATACTTTCAAATTTTGCTGATTCCTGATCAATGCTCTCAGACAAGCCTTTCAATTTTGCTGCGAAATTCTTAGACTCGTGAACAATCCTTTTTCGATGATTCATGAAGGCTTGCTGAGTGAAAACAGTGAGGCGAGTTTCAATATCACTGAGCTGGTCCTTAACATTCTGGTCCTGCTGATTCCTCTTTTTTAAATCATCTACAGTAAGTAGAATTTTATTGTATTCGATGGAAAGAGTATCAACACGCCCAACTAATTGTTTAATGATGTCTTCAGATGATCGATCATCAACAACAAGTACACCGCCTTCTGTAGTCTAATAATAAAAGTTTTCAGTGATTAAAGCTTCAAAGCATGGCTCAAATACCCTGGTTTGGTCTGCAGTACTTTCATCACCAGGAGCTGGGTACGTGTACCCTTCTCCTTCCTGTTCAGCCATCACAGGAAACCAGTCAAACCACAAGAATACCGTAGGACGACTAATTTTCGCGAATGCTAATTAGAATTTCCATGGAAACAGATTAGATAGTTGCTATGGCGATTGACCACGTGTTTATACATTTACAGTGTCCAGCAGCTAATCAGCTATCTTTAGCAGCTTTAGTGCCAATTAGTGGAGCCATCCAGCTCTCTTATCCCGTTATATTCTTGTATGGACAACTACCTTCGAGCTCTTTGATGCTGGTCTGTCGGTCATGATTATAAACCACACCCAAACCAATAAACATTATGTTTATGAG